CTCCTAAAACACAAATAAGTAATGTACAACATTTATGTAAGGAATTCTGGCTTGTCCTAAAAAAAATCCTTAAAATCGATGAGGCAAATCGAGTCAAATAAAAAAAAAACGAAAGCTTTCGCCGATTCCCGCCTTTCCGGGAGATGTTTGAGAAGCAAGCTAAAACAGTTTAACTTCCTGACATGAAATAAATGCCTAATTTTCCACTGAAATAAGAAACCGCTAATGACATTCTTACGAGACAAAAAAACCGACCAGAATTGTTTCCTTCGTAAATTCGGAATCAAATTATAATTTTCCATTTACAAAAAAAGCTTTTCTGGCAGCTTTTATTATTAATGTTATTATTGTCACCATTATATTATTATCACTATTATCATTAGTTTCTATCCATTTCTCTAATCGATGGGGCGCTTTTACAGATGATCAAAATATCAAAATAAACAGTCTTATGATAGTCTTGTAGTCTAAGAGTCTTATTAATCAGTCTTAACAAACAGTCTTATAATTTTATAACCCGACTGTAGCCCAAATAAAAAGGACTCCCCACCGACAGCCTAGCGACTTTAACAGAAAAGCGAAATTTTGGCTCTATTGTTATAAGTTGCTACTTGCTATAAAGAGAAAAAAAATTGAAAAACTGGATGGTGTAGGATTAACAACCACTAATCCAGGGCTTTTCGCTACCAGTAAGGGCCTGGATTTTTCCGAATTTCGTAAATTTTATATCATCTGAATAAGGCGATGAATAGGAATGGAAAGACTGATCGGATAACTCCCACAGAGATTATTGTTACCATTAAAATTATTATTTATCACTAGCACCATTACTGATATTACTCATATTATTATTCCTATTATTATCAACAGTTTTGTTTATAGTGCGTTCGGGGGAAAGGGGCAGTTCAGAATCTGCAGGGTTTGCTGTATCTGTGCTCAACCTACCGTGCCCCTCAATAACATCTAAGACCTTACAATGCATCAAAACTTTCAATATATAGCCGGAATTCGAAAGCGTTAATACGTGGAACTATGTGAACACAGATTTGCAAACTGTAAGCTTACCTGTCCTGCATACAGATGGCAGAAACCGCGAACTAGTCTCTCCTTGTACAGATTGCCAGCTGCTGTTTCCATTCGTCGGATTTTCTTAAAAAACGCATAATCAGTGAAAACTATTAGTAAAGCCGTGTTGCACAGCTCCTTTTTTTTTCATTATTTACGCTTTTAAAGATAAGAGTAGCGAGTCTGGGCAATTCTAAGACTAGAAAACAAAAGTTTCTTTTCCTCTCCCTCATCTCGGTCCATCTTCCCTCCCTATCCGGCCCTACGTTTCAACTTTAGACATAAAAATATTCCAAAAATGAATCACTGAGTTGGTAATCCCTTCAGAAGACGAAAGGAACGTCAAGATTGCCAAGAGGTTGGCCAACAGAAGATGCAGTAGTGAACTACAGCCGATCAACACAAAAAAGTCAATGATACTAAAAAACGCCCAGTATAAACAGCATTTTGTCAATCGGAATCAACCAGTGGAAAAGTAGCCGAGGGTCCTTTCTTTCGAGTGCTACTTAAAACTAAGTTTATGATGATTTTGACTTTCTGGAATGTGTGTCAACGAAATGTGTCACGTTAGCTGATTCGAACCTTCGAGTAAAGCCAGGCCAGTTAGGAATCCTCGGTCTGTAGAATGGAGGCACTGAAAAATCCGGCTAGCGGTCCTTGGTGCAGAAAAGAAGTACTGGAACTTCTCCTATTTGTCTATAACAAAAAAAGAAAAAACAAACCGCCATTTTTCGGTAGTAATCCACAGCATCATCTCTTGTAACGCTGACATTTGCGGACGGGCCGGATTCGAGTCGATGTAGCTTATATGGTTTCGTTTGGAATGACGCTTCGTTGCTTAGAAGACGAAATGAAAAAGCTATAAATGGTTGCTGCTGCACCGGCACCTGAACATCAGAAGGGTTGGCTTCAAACAAAACCAGAAAAAATTTAAAAAAAAACAATTAGAGTTAAGTTTTGCTGGTAAAGCACATTGATAAATCTTATCTCGAACCACTGGAGGATCCGAATTTTTTTAAAGCATCGTAATCTTTCACGAGGGAAGGAAAAATCTGGAGATTTGCGGATAGGGTATAAGG